TACCCGTTGTCAGTGCGACGCGTGAATCTGGCTCTGCGTTATTTACGGTATCGGTATCTCGTGGCACTCCCATCCGCGAGCTTGGCAAGGAAAGCGCTCGAGGAGGCAGACCGTCTACGGAGGAAAGGAAAATCTTCTTGGGCAGGGGATTTGGCCAATGTGCTGCGGCACTTGCCCTTCGCAATGCCCCGTCTACCCTCTGAGTCTCGCGAATCTGACGACGGAAGGCTGTGACGCGTTACTCGTGGCTTTGCAGCGGGGCTGTCGGGCGTATATTCTCGGGCAGGTCAACTCGAGAGTGTCGATCCCTCTGCTGCACGGACGTCTCGAGCCATTCAAGGATAAGCCTTCAAGGGTTGTGGCTGTGTGCCAGAGGCACTACCTCTCTCGTGTGGCGCACACCAATCATCGGTTGGCACTGACCCGTTTGCTATGCGGCTCGTTCTTCTTCCGTGGTCTGCGGTCTGATCCCAGTCTACATAGACCGGAGTCCATGGCCTGTCGCAAGTGCGGGTTGGCACCGGAGACGCCAGGACATGTCTTCTTGCAGTGCAGGGCGCGCGAGACAGTTGAGCTGCGGGTGGACTTGAGGCTGCAACTGGAAAGAGAGTTCCGCGTCACCTTGGGGCCGACACCCAATTCACGCGAGAGCGCCGAGGCACGACTACGCAATTTGATATTTGACTGGGAGACGGTGGTACCGACAGCGCGGTTTGTCTATGGCGTTTGTCGGTCATGGAACTGGTTTGGTCGGAAATTGCCAACGATGGTGACGGAGCTGGCACCGGACTCGGAAGATGATGTGGCGGACAGTGGGGCGGATTCGGAGGACTCAGTGGGAGAGGGGTGTTGATGGTCAGTGACTGGCTTTCTTTCTTGCTTCTGGGGGACTATAGCTGGAGACTACAGACACTCATGCTGCGACTCTTAGGGCTTGGCTTGTATTTTTAAGCCTGGCAGGGAGGTAGGGGGCCGACGTACTCGTAAGAGGGTACAGCTCACCCTCGCCGACCTGTCAGGTTGCTCGGTACCCAGATGTGGGACCATATGAGCTTGTTAAATGTTAAATGTTCTTATATTTGATGGACGACATCATGACGCGAATTGAGGCCAGCAAGGACCCAGTAAATGCTCATACCTGGTGGTCAGCTCTCCGCTGACCGCCATCATCAGGAACTCGAGGAGGCCCGACAGAGTTTTCGTCGAATCCGACTTCGCAACCTTTACAAATTTGCCGACCAACGCGTGGTAGAATGGGAGCGGAGGGACCTCTTTAAGGCCTATATCACCCAAGAGAGAGTCGCGTTGGAAGCACGGAGGCTGGCTCAGGTGGCGATTGAAGCGGGCAAAGCTGATTCCGTCGACTTGTCTCTGCTCACTCCTGTTCTACTCCAAGCGTCGTCCAAAGAGTCGAGTCGTCTTTGTTCCGCTGATTTGTACGCTGACTTGGTGTAGAATGTGCTCCAGCACAGAAGTGCGACTACTCCATGCTGATGCCGCCTATATTTGCCGAAGTCAAGCTCACAGTCTACACCAAACGTCCCGAGTACGAATTGGAACCTTTTACGAGTTACGAGTTACGTGCTCTATAACGAATTGACAGATATCTAGCATTTGTTCAAGCGGGTTATCGTGCTGTCTTGCAATCCATTCCGGAAGTATTGCAACAGAAACCATTCAGTCACATTTTTGACGTGTGTCGAGCGTTGCCGAGTGTTAGGCGATGATGTGTGATAATAAGCCAAGCCATCAGGCCCCCAAAGATAGGAATCAGACAGTCTTTAGGGCCGGTTCACACGGATGCTTGAGACCACTGGTATGTAGCACTTGCAACCATAGAGTATACTTATGTAGGTACTAATCCTGATATCCACTATAAGCGACAACCTGGCGTCGGCGCTGCTCGGACCCTCCTCCCCCCTGCGCGCGCCTACAAGTCGGCCGGCTCACCGCCGCTGGCCCGAATGATTTTCGAGCCGCTGGCCGAGCACCCGTGGGCGGTGCGGGAAGGGTCAGCAGACTACTGCATTGACAAGTTTGAGTTGCCCCACCCGCCAGCGGAACTCACAAGTTTTTGGGCACTGCGACTTCTCACCAGTGGCCGCAATCAACTGAGAGCCTGCCCGGGTGCTAGGCCAGCAAACGAACAACCGCGCCGGTCCGCGCGCAGCTATTTGCGGAACTCACCGCTGTCGCCAAGGGCCTAAGATGAAAGCCCACGCCGGCAATGCTTGGAACAATGCGGCCGCGGCGGATGCGCTGACAAAAACTACAGCACACAACTTGAAGTGCTCAGCAGCTCCCCGTTGCCGAGCCCAAAACGTGGCGATTCCGCGCTGGGTCCGCAAGTGCCACCTACTGGTTGCGCGTGTCGTAATCCTGGCTTGGGAATCAATGAAGCGAAGCAGCAGTCTGCCAGCAGATATAGCTGACGCACCTGGGGAAGCCCGAGACGTTTTCAGGTCCCATAGAACAGCTTCGCTCAGGCTGGAGCCGAATTCCGAGCAATTCAATGAGCTGAAACAGTTTTGGCAATTCGGCACACTCACCACTGGCATTGGCAACATATATACGTGTTCGCGGACCGCCGGACTAATAGAGCCGCTCGTCGTTCTTCACCCGAGAAACATGTCCCAGGGTACTCAGGCTGAACAGGCCAGGACACGCGCCAAGCACAAGCCCCGATAACACAAGGCGCGAAACCTGGTGCCGTGCCGGTATGAAATTGGGCCAGACAGAGGGTGAGGTCAACTGGCAAGCGCGGCAGTGCTTCCGACTACCTGCGCATGTCCGAGTCGCTCAACGGAAAAACATAAACTGAATACACTCACTGGTTTACCGTTCTTGAATCTTGTTGAGATATGTGAGATATTCAGGGGAATGCACCAGAGGTTACAGCCCGCTCGTCTGCGCTGTCCAGCTGACCATGGTACCGGCTCACGATCTCAACGCCAATAGTGACTCGTGAGTGTGTCGGTGACTAGAGACAATGATTAGTAGTATTGAAATGGGTGCGCATCAAAATCCTTACCTGTTCTCCAAACTTGATAATGTGTTCCCTGCGCCGCTCGCAGCGGAGCCATCACGCCCGGTAAACCGTCCGACTTTCGTGAGCGCTCACATCTGCTGGCCTGGGTGCCAGTTCCCGCACTGCCAGAAGGTCGGCCCACTTGCTGCTGCTACTTAAGCTGAGACAGCGCGTGGGCCGCGGTAAAGTCGCCAAACGGGCAGTGCTATAAACCTAAGATTGAAGCGGCGGTCATCGTCCAGGTTATGACCGATCCGAGTTAGGAGCAAGCGGCGGCGATCGTTAGCAGGGCGGGACACGGAGACACCAGAGAGGCGTAAAGGCCGTGTTGGACCACACCAGTCAGCTTTACTCAGATGAAACGGTAAAAAAAAGTAAGATTTGCATGCTCACCTATCGTCAATAGTATTAGTGACTCGATACCTTGTCTGACTCTCCATACAGCGTCAATTGGGGCCATAGAGAGATATGATTGTAGAGCGCACAGAGGGTTCCAGTTTGTCCGAGTCATTGCATGTAGTGTCTTTGTTAGGGTCGCCAGAGATCGCAGCACCAGAAAAGCCAAGTGCCTTGACTATTGTAAAATCATCGGCGGCAAACGAGCGAAGAGCCTGAGTGCCAGTGGACTCTTGACGTCAAGTTCTCACCTGGCAGTGACCAGTAGCGCTACAATCGAACGCGCGAGATTGAGCCAGAGGTCGGAGTCCATCTTACATCGCGTTTTCGGGAGCATCCAAGACTACTTCCGAAGCTCGTTGACGGGCGGGCCAAACATCGCGGCATCAAGAGAAGGCGAGACATGAGCGGCGAGCAAAGTTTGCCGGCGGGTTGGTGAGTAAGGATAGAACACCGTCAAGGCGGCGCACTCGCAGCACAGGCCGCTCTTGTATCGTTGATGCCGGGAGCCCAGTTGCGGGCCGGAACGTGGTGCTGAGAGAAGGTGTGCGCTGGCAGGATCGGTGACGTGTAGTGTCACGTGCTGTCGGCACGGACGCCGAAGGTACCACGGTGGCCTGGGGTCCCTGCTTGGCAGTCGGCAATCGTCGCCACACGTCAAAAGTGTGACTGAATGGTTTCTGTTGCAATACGGAAGATCTCCCCGCAACTCTGCCAGTCTCGGCTCGCCGGGCTCGGCCGCTGGAGTCCGTCGGTCCGTTGACACCTCCACGAGAGAAATCTAACTCGCTGCCTCGCTCGCGGGCGGCGAGCCTTGCGTCGCGTACTCCAAACGAGTTCACCACTGTCCCGATGAATTACGTCCCCTCCACGCCTAGTCGGTCAAGAGAGCTCAAGCGGTCGCATTCCAGCACTAGTATCCATATAGGGCACCTGTACACGGGGTTTTTTTTAAAAAAGCCTTCTCATTACCAGTGTTAATGTTTTTAAAAAATGCCTCTAATTTATGCCCCTGCCAAAAGGCGGGTTTTACATAGGGAAATGAGAGATCAAAAAAAGGTTTAAAAGGTTGAAAAGCCTTGTCAGGGTGGGCAGTGTGGTAGCTATAAGGCCCCAGACCTGACGTGTGGAAAATTCCTTAAGTATGGGGAAAATACTGAGTAGGGGAAAGGCTAAAAAAGATGAAAAAAATTGTTGATGCCAAGGTGCCAAGAAAGATACAGAGTTTGACAGCGTGGATTTTATTAAAATGAGGGGAAGACTTGTAAATCACTGATGTTTTTTAAAAATGTTAATATTCTAATTACAAGGGATCTTTTTAAAAAAAACCCCGTATACGCCTGTATAGGGACCGGCAGCCTGTTGTTTGGGTTCGGGATTCCACCGGAGACGATAGAAGACGAAGAGCGGGACACTAAGCGAATTCGGATAGACAAGAGCTGAATTAGACTAACCAACATGGACAAGAAGGACAAGCAGCATTGTTACAGGGGTTCAGAGGTACTCGTACTACTAGTATAGCTACAGATTCAGCGGCAAGCACATATCAATTCACACAGACACACAGAGACTCCAATTAGACAGCAACTTCCATACCACTATCAGACGTAGAGCAGCTTGAATGGCAAGACATCGTCTGGGTTTTGTTCGGCACTGATAGCGTCGGCCCCTGCTCACGAGGTTAGTGGAAGAGCCTCCGTTGCAAGAGCTCTCACGGTTGCAGTACTAGTGATGGCGCAACCAGGAGGTGGATGGACAAACTCGACGGCAGAGACGGTCACTGAGATGCGGCGACTGCCAGGAGAAAACGGGAACTCGTGGAGGTTGACTGTGTCGGGCTCATGACCCGCCGGCCCAAACAGCTTTTTGCGGAAGTGGTCGCGCATGTTGAGGCTGATGAGACGATGGCGGTTAGCTAACCAATAATGATAAAAGTAGCACTGACGTCGCGAGCATGCTATTCATGTAGACTGACGGCAGTGAGAAGCGTAGGGCTGGAAAGATAAGTAGACGCGGAAGCCACGTACGTTTGCTGTTTGGGGCCAGCGTCAAGAAGAACCAAAAGGTGTTAGGGAACACAACGAACTGTGTCGGAAATCAGAATAGAATCAGGCATGGCTCAGCTGAGTGAACTTACCAAAATCATCGTACCGGCAGAGGTGAGGGAGGTGAGCATTCCGCGATTGACCGCGTTGATCATGACGGCCTTGAGGAGCCGTCGAGTGCTGGAAATACGATCAATCAAGAAAATCTGATGTGCGTGTGATCCGGGTGTCACCGAGGCATGCCGCTTTGATGCCGGCGCAGGAAGATGCACAGGTAGACCGTGATGGACATGTCGCACACCAGGGAGGCGGCAGTCTGCAGGGTGGTGGTAGCCTGTGGGGTTAGTCCGAGTTGTCAGAGTGGAGGCTGAGTCGGCGAGCGCACTTTTGTCCGGTCGAGTTCAGCGAAGTGACGGATGATGTAACTTCGGCGAGGTTAGAGAGTGTGAGGGATGTACGGCGATGCTCACGTCCAAGCGGTTTGCACAGTGCCGGCAGCTGCCGAGCTCAGCAAACGGCTTGTATCGGAGGTAAGCCGTACCCATTTTGTGTGAAAGCGAGGAATATCTGGCAACGAATGAGGTGAAGATGGGGGTGATCCTATGTGGCTCACTATGAAGTAGATCCCCCACCGAGAAACACTGTGAAACCGAACCCCATCACGTGTGACTGTCCAGTTCATTTAGTTCAATTGCTAGGCTGACTCTGGAAGACGACGAACGATGCCAGATTCGACTTGCAAAGTATCTGCATGAGCAGTTAGTAAGGGCTTATACCACAGGGGTGCCAGTGGAAGGACGAACAATTGGACCGTAAAGGCTGAGAGATACTGCGAAGATGATCCGATCAAATGATGCTGATATTCTGACGCGACGCTCACGTTGGCTAAAAGTTGGACCTGACGCGCGCTTCAGAGGTCAGCGTCGTAAACGAGGATGTTTACGCACCGAATCCGTCCTGGGGAGCCCCAAACTCAATCCACTGTTGGCTACAAATGGGTGGAAAGCGCCTCACCACATCAAATCCGGTTGAACCCGCCCAAAGCGCATCACGTAGCGCTCGAAGCTCGACGCCCAGAAGAATATGACCTGAACAGTCTCGAAAAAGCTATAGGCAGCGCACCCTCAGCTCTGTGGGCCACGAATGGAGCGGTGGAACGCACAACACAAGTAGCACCTGCAACACTCGTGTGAGCGGCAAACAACAAAGGAAAAAGTGGCAGCGGTGACGCACAGCACCGCGAATCTCCCAGCCGTCGTTCCACCACTGGAAATACAGCCACGTTTGCAGCAGCCCGATCCCATAGAGCCTGTAATCCACGGTCAGCAACTTCGACGTAAACGTGAACTTGAACACGGTTCAGCCTGAGTCAGAGTAGTGCTCACACTGTTTCGAGGAGGAGAGAGATGAACCAAGGCCCATAGGTCGAGTAGAGGTCGACAACAACTCGGATGGACATGCTCGAGGCGAATGAAGGTGGGGTTAGAATTTAAGGGTCGGATTGCCTGATATGGGGCCTCGCGATCGGAACCTTTCTTCGAGCGCTATTCTGGTTACGCATGACTGTCACGAACCGTAAGTGACACGAAAGGCAAAGTCAAAAAAAAGACCCTGAAATCGCTTGTCAATCGTATCGCGAAAATGGAAGATGATGAGTTTGTCCGTGGTGTCTATGATACCTAATGTACAAGTGCGTTTCTACTTCATTTACCGTTGTCTGACCCCGAAGGCGAAACATTCAAGTTGGTATACGAGCGCGCCATGACCTCTTCGGCTATGTCTGGCCCGTATTGATCTGCGAGTTGCCTTGATAGAAGATTGAGAGAGTAGAGTAGACGCGTAAAGGACACCACTTACTGGGCATAGGCTCCTGCTATCACCGCCATGCTCCTTTCCGACAGTCGATACGCCTTGGGCATCATCCCTACACAGACAACTTCAGCACGACAACGAGAGACAGAACCAGCGTACCTTTCCCGAAGCGGTATGTGATGTGGTTTGAGCAAAGCAGGCCGGCGAGGATGGCGCCGATGTTGACTGGGACGAATGAGAATATGACGACGAACCAGCGATGGAGCAGGTCTTTCTCAAAGAATCAATACTTCTTCTTGCAGCCAGGGAGAATGCTGCGGGAGCAACACGTCTGGCTGAGCGTTGCTTCGACGTAGGGACTGAAATAACCACAGCATTTGAGCTGGTTTTGAATGCGCAGACGACCGAGGGCCCCGAGCCCGGTTGACCATTGCTTGTTGACCTTGCCCTCGAGGTTGAAGGTGTGTTTCTTGAACGTGAGATAGCCGGGGAGGACAAGGAATGCGAAAGCGATCCACAGCATGAATGTGTAGACCGCCAGAAAGCCCTTGCTTGTGTAAGACCGAAACGAGCGTGAGAGAGACAGCGGACTCACCCGGTTGTTCAGCACGATGCCAGCCCAGCCAATAACTGCGGTGAGGACCGCTACAGCAGCAGCCAGTGTGGTCAGGATAAGCTCTGGTCGGTTTCCAACGCGTACAACATCGGCGTTGTCCCACACATTCAGCCAGGCCGTAATCATGTCATGACGCTAAAGCAAGGCAAGTGTACTAGTTTAGGGTATCAGATAGCTCCCATGTTGTCCCGAAGTCACATACCACGGAGTTGGAGAACACTTGAACCGATTCCACTTGGCGCCCTTCTTTCCCTTCCTGCCCAGTTCTACGCCGTCATAGCTGTCGTCGTTTGCTCCCGGTATACGCGACTCGCCTGCTCGAAACGCGTCTATGCCCCCTCCACGCTTGAAAATACCGCTCCTCCTGTTCCGGACCGCGGGGGCAGCAAACTTGCTTGGAACGTAGTTGACATGCAGCGAGACTGTGCTGCCGCCGAATGCACCCCCAGGAGAGCTGCTCCGACTTGAATTGGACCCTCCAGAGTCAAGAAACGGGCGCCTTGGTGGCTCAAGGGGTTGGGCGAGCATATGGGCAGTCGAAGCGGCAGAAGAGAAGTGAATCTTCGAATGAAGAAACCGAGAAGTGGAGATCTATTATACAAAAGAGTTCGGTGTCACTTTCCGTGACATCTTGAGTGATCAGCCAATGAGATCGCTGACATCAAAAGACAGTTTTGCTCTCCTCGCCTTCGCGTTCCTCGCGCAATCCCTCCCAAGCTTCAGGTCTCACCACGACAACACCTCGAGGACCCCGAAATCTTCACAGTATCACATGACTACCCAATGACTACGATGACCAGACTCCACGACTACCACGACTCCCAGACTCCACGACTACCAGATTTCTGGACCACACAACAACTGTCGATACACACTGTAAACTTGTAGAGCTCTATGGAAGAATACCACCTCTTTTCCCACCTCCCTTTGTGTGCTTCAACTATGGAGTGATATGCAAGCATCAACATTTGGAAGAGTAGAGTCACGGAACAAGACCTCTCTCAACTTCTATGTGCGTGGCTCCTGCACTATTCCCATTGCATTACCTGACTTCTACACAGGCTGCCTTCTCCAAGCTCTTCCCTGTTGCATCGAAGCCCGCGAAGTATCCGCCAACGACGTAACCATGCAAACTCGCCACCATACATCTCACCCTATCGGAATTTTGGGCCTGTTCAAGACCGTTCGAATTTCACGGATGCTGTGGAGGATGAAAGGGCAACACAACGAGAGAAGAACCGCGAGCTTGCTTTCCAGCAGCAAGAAACACCAAGCCGACGCCACAGAAGGGTTCCGACTGCTGCTGCTTCGAAGGAGAACAGGTCTCCCTCTCCAACTCCCGCTCCACGTCGGCGCCGGGTTAATGCAAGTGTCTCATCTTCACCCTTCAAAAATACTAACTGGCTTTTTCAGCTGATCTTGCCGCCCCCTCCAGCTCAACCGTCAATCCCAGCTACTTCTGGTATACGCTCCGTTCGAGTAAGTTTTTTTCTGCTCTTTACATTTGAACAGACTTATCAGTGTTATTAGCTTTTACTTCCAACTCCACCATCATCGGTATTGCCGACACCACGAGAAACTCAGCAAGAACGGGTTAATATGTACTCGCTCGGTCAACAAAGACGACGAGCGCGGGAACGAGAGCAGCGGGAACGAGAGCAGCGGGAACGAGAGCAGCGGCAACACGAGCAGCAAGAACGGGAGGACCAAGCACATGAGCAACATATAGTGCAGCGTTCCGAAATAAATGAACATCCACGTAGGGCCCCGAATATCCTCTTCCCTCATCTTTGTTCTGAGAATGTTTTATAGCTCTTCGACTGTTTCCCCTTCTTCGACAGCTGTCCCCAGCACAAAACCAGCTGTTGACACCACCTACGACTCAAATCGGTAGGCTACGACATAGACATTGATTTATTGACTTCATTCTTTACAGTTCATTCTAATATTAACTCTTGCGAGGCGTCCACTTCCCAATTACCTCTCAGCGCTCCACCTATTCAACCCTCTCGACCTCGCCGCCATGTGACTGTCGCACCCGCTCGCCAACCGTATCTTGAGCCCAGCGCACGTCACGATCTTGGTCGTATGGATGTCAAGTGTCCGGATTGTGGTGCTTGGCATTGGATGGCTGAAAAGCGCTCGGACTCTTCCCAGCGCAATCCGCGGTTTGGTGCATGCTGCCAACGTGGAAAGCTGTCACTCGAGGTCTTACAAGAGCCTCCCGTCGAGCTCAAAAACCTTCTCTCAGGAAGGGGTCCTGCCGCTAACGAATTCCGGACAAACATTGCGCAATATAACATTGCGCTTTCATTTACCTCGCTTGGTGTCAAGATTGACCACAGCCTCAACAATAATGGTGGGGGCCCACATGTTTTCCGTATTCACGGAGAACTTTGCCATCGTATCGGCTCTCTCCTTCCTCCCATCGGGCAAACCCCAGCATATGCCCAGCTCTATTTCTACGACCCTCGGGCGGCATTGGACCATCGGATGCACAATAACACCAAACTCCGGCGCGAAACCATGGAGGTGCTGCAACGCATTATCAATGAACACCACCGATATGCTAGGCTATTCATCCATGCCAAGGACATCCTCACCACCGAGCCAAGCGACGATATATCTGTTCGACTGCGGGTTGCCTCTGGGGTTCACGTTCGGCGCGGGAATCTTCCAACAGCTGATGAGGTTGCGGTCGTGATTCCAGAACAGGACAACCCTCAACCACGCGATATTGTCCTCCGGCGGCGCAATGGGCCTCTGATGCGGATTAGCGACATCCACCCTGCATATACACCTCTTTATTACGTCCTTCTCTTTCCATATGGCGAAGATGGCTGGGATCCGGAGCTGCGTTTGAATGATACCGGGAACGACACTCCTCAACGTGTTACTCAGACAAAATATGTGTCTTATCGACTCCACCAAAGACATGGCGAGGCAACAACATTATTACAAGGTGGACGACTTCTTCAACGATATATGGTGGACATGTGGGCTTCTGCGGACCAGAATCGCTTGCAGTGGGTTCGGCGAAATCAGGGACAAATACGGGCGGAGCTGTATCGGGGACTGGCGGATGCTATTGAAGAGGGCGATGAAAGTTTGGACCTTAACTCACTGGGCACTCGGACTGTGTTGCCCTCGACATATACTGGAGGGCCACGAGATCGAGGACAACGCTTCCAAGATTCCATGGCTCTGGCACGATATTATCGTTCAGTCGACCTTTTCATCACGGTTACAACGAATCCCGACTGGCCCGAGATCAAACGCGAGTTGCTCGATGGGCAGCATTCATCCGACCGGCCAGACCTAATTGCTCGCGTTTTTCATATGAAGAAAACCGCAATTGTTAACGACATCTATGTTGATCCGCGGATCGGAGCGACGGACTCAGACGCGTAGAATAGCTCGATCCGTTGCACAGCCTCACACGTTCTTCTCCCGAACTGTGAGGTATGTGCAACGCGTTCTCATGTATCTTATGTATTCTCACTGTGCGACAGCGAGCTCAGAAGCTCACTGAGTACAGGTAATGACACGTTCTTCTCCCGAACTGTGAGCGAGCTCAGAAGCTCACTGAGTACAGGTTCAACAGGTTATGGGCCAAAGCGTTTGAAGACGCTCGACACCTGTACCCAACGACACTTCCTCGCCCGTCGAACCTTCTCGCCGCTCTCGCTGCACCTCGCCACTTGCGATACCATGTTCTCCCGCCCCTCGAACCCTTTTCTTGACGCGTACGACGCCGACTCGCCGATGGCGAAACTCGCGCGTGGTCTGCGCACCCCGCCACCGTTCTCCAGCCCTCGCCCGCCCGTTCTCAAGCACCATAACCAACTGGTCCGATGACGACTTTCTCTCCCTTGCCAAAGGCAACTGGGCGGCTTGGTCGGGCCGTGTTGAGCGCAACCTAGGTTTGCACGCTGGGGCTACACGTTTTCTCGATCCCAACCATCTACCGGACATGCTCAACCCCGCGGCGGTCACGACATGGACGGACAACAACACAGTTGTCCGCTCCTTCCTCCTCTCGGTCCTATCCAGCACCGAACGTGACGCAGTCGAGATGCACGAGTTGGCGTCGGCGGTCTGGCAAGCACTGCGCGTCCGTCACGTCCACCGCGGGCCACTCAATCAGGTCAAGGCCCTGAAAGCCGCGTTCGAGGTGTCGTACTCCGCGGACACCAAGTCTTTCGAGAAGACGACGGAACAGTTGATGTCGGAGAGTGACGCGGCTCATCCGACTATCTCTTAATATTATCTTATCTTCATATTGATATCACCGCTACTGGAACCTGGTCAGCGAGAGGGGCTTCCAACCCTTCTCTCGCTGAACCAGGTATGACCCCCTTTCTCACCTTGACTTCATGTACTTATATCCAACCCTTCTCTCGCTGAACCAGACCAATATATTATCTGCGACTCACAGGTTATGGGCCCCGTGCCGTTACCCGCTACATGCATAACATCGACGAGGCGGTTCAGCACGCAGTCGCGGATGAAATGTTCTCGGATAGAGATGTGTTTCATTTTTGAGTGTGAATGTGGATTGTGGGTGCAAGCAACTGTTCCTTGATTGTCGCAAAAGATAGATGTGGGTTGTTGTTGTGGGAAGCCGAGCTCGTTCATAATGTTTCGGAACCATAAGACATCTTTCGCGCAATGAGTCGTTGCGAGGTATTCAGCTTCGCAAGACGATAAAGCCACCACGGCCTGTTGCTTTGAGCTCCACGATACTGGTGAATCGTTTACCAGGATGACAAAGCCCGATATCGATTTCCTATCGTTCCCCATTCCCCAATCTGAGTCGCTCAGTGCTGTGACTGTGGGTTCTGCGAAATTCTTTCCCCCGAGTAGTATCCCATGGCTTGCTGTTCCTCGCAGGTACCGCAACAAGTGCTTCGCCGCTGCCACATGTGCAGGCCCGTACTTCACCATGAACCGTGCCAATTCCCGCACCGTATACGAGATGTCGGGTCGTGTGCACGTGGACAGATACATACACCGCCCAACTATAGCAGCGTACGGAAAGTCTTTCGCCTTCTGGACCTCCGCATCGGTACTAGTAGCCGGTGCCAATCTCGTGCTTGGGTCCATTGGGGTTTGCACTGAGTTGCTTTTATCAAATTTGAAGTCGCGAAGGATCGATTCTGTGAAGGCTTTCTGGTGTAAGCGAATGGTGCGGTTGTCTCGGTCTCGCTCGACTGAGCATCCCAGATGGAGCTTCGGTTCGCCATTGTCGGGGTTTGGGAGGAGCTAGCGATTAGCATATCGTCCACGCTGGTCGTTATGATGCTGAGGTTGTTGTCAGTCTTCCTCACGTAAACGCTCCAGTCGGACTCGACGCGTTTAAAACCTATGAGTTCGAGTCTTGCGTTCAATTCGAGATACCATTGTCTCCCAGCCTGTTTCAATCCATACAAGCCTTTGAGTAGTCGCCAAAACCCCGGGCCTGCAATCTCAGGCTTCCGCATATATATTTCTTCGTCGAGCGGTCCGTTCAAGAAGGCCGTTTTGACGTCGACTTGCCGCAGGGTCATATCGTGTGCAGCTGCGAGAGTGAGGACGAATCGGATGGATTCCCATCTCGCGACGGGAGCGAACGTGTAAGTGTAGTCTTGGCCCGGGATTTGAGTGAATCCCTTTGCAACTAGTCGTGCCTTGAACCGGGATATGCGACCATCTCGGTCTCGCTTGATGTGCAACACCCACTTGCAAGCGACGGGTTTGCGTCCCAGCGGCACTTCCTCCACCTCGACGTAAACACCTTTCGCCCGTAATGATTCTAGTTCCTCGAATATAGCGATTAGCCATTGTGGCCAATATATTGAGGCTTTGGCTTCCGGTATCGAGTTCGGGTCCTTTGCATTGGGATCGTCAATGGGATTTGCAAGAGTCGAATGCCTCCCGATGTCGCCTCGCAGCTTTATTACGCGCTGGTGGACCCTCATCTCACTCACGGGTGTGACGTGATGCTCGATGTGGACAATGTGTCCTTTGCTTGGCTCGACGATCTCAATCGCGCATTTCTGCGTCGCATACTGGGCGTGGGTGCACGTTCGGGCATACCTCAATTATACTCGGAGCTTGGGATATATCCATTACGGGTTCGCCGGGCCGAACTGGCCATACGTTACTTGCGCTACTTAGTTTCGCTGCCGGAGGCACATCTCGCGCGCAAAGCTCTGGTGGTGGCGGATCACCTGCGACGAAGGGGAAATCCGTCGTGGACAGGGGATTTAGCCCGCGTCTTACAGCAGTTGCCATTCGACTGCCCGCATCTCCCTTCTCTGGGTAACCTGTCGACCACTGGCTGTGATGAGCTGATCAAGAAGCTGCGCAGCCGCGCGCGTTGGTGGATCCACTCCGAAATTAACTCTCGGGTCTCCCTTCCCTTGCTGCATGGACGTATGGAACCCTCGAAGGACGGAGCGCTGAAGACGGTCCCCCTGTGCCGACGGCACTATCTCACGCGCGTGGCGCACACAAACCATCGCCTTGCGCTGACCCGTCTACTTTGCGGCTCTTTCCACTTCCGGGGTCTACACTCCAGACCCCGCGTCTCACGTTCCGGCTTCGGTGACGTGCCGCAAGTGTGGGGAAGATCTGGAAACACCAGGCCATGTGTTCCTGCAGTGTAGGGCCCGCGATGTGGTGGAATTGCGCGTGGAGTTGCGAGAGGAGCTGAGGCAGCGATTTGGCGTAACACTGGCAAGCGAGCCTACGTCACGGGCAGAGGCGGAGCGACAACTCCGCGTATTGATCTTTGCGTGGGAGACGGTGGTGCCAATGGCACGTTTTGTCTATCGGGTTTGCAAAGCCTGGAGTTGGTTCGGTCGCAAACTGCCATCGATGGCCTCCGAGCTAGCGCCGCTGTCTGACGACGAGCAGAGTGACGACGAGGGTACCTCGAGCGAGGGGGAGAATTCTGTGGGGGAGCGTGGTGACTGAGGCAGGGGGGTGGTGGTGTGTTTTGTTTTGTTTTTGTTTGGAGCTGCATGACTGCCAGTTTCGGGCCGGCGCAGGTGGACAACGGTGGATCCTGGGGATTTACACGCAGGAGGGGGGGACCCCGCCTGTGTCCTACCGTGTTTTTTCCCATGGGGTTTTTCACGGGGGTTTTATCCAGTGGTCCTGCCCTCCGAGGGCCAGCCGCTTCACGACGCTGATGCTGTGTTGCGCCGATAGCTCGTTGGCCTGAGCGGTTGGTTGTGTAGTGATGTTTTGTAAGGCTCATGAGCGCGGGTAGGGGGTCGACGTA